GACCTTGCAGTTCAAACTAACTTTGTGGTCGAGTGCTTATCCTACAGCGCCACACCAGGACTCCTTGCAAAATACAAAAGAAGCTTATTAAGGAAGATAGGGACCAAGTCAGTTGGAGATCTCCCAGGGATGCTGCTGGGCCCCCAGATGTTGAAAGGACACAAGGCCCTTCCCCCAAAACTGATAGAGAAAATCTTCCCCTAGAGTGGTTTTGGACCTCTAGCCTCCTAAACGGAGACCTGGTGTGGTTCTGTGGTCTAATGCACTGGATAGCAAGCTTGGTTTGAACTGCAAGGTCGGCGGTTCAAATTCACCAGCTGCTCCTCAGAAACCCTATAGAGTTGCTATGAGTCAAAACCGACTCGATGGTACTTAACAACAACAGCTCAAACAGTGAGAGAATAGATTCCAGTTTGCTAAAGCCATCCATCCACAAGGAGCTCTGGTAGCACAGTGGTTACGAGTCAGGCTGCTAACCTCAAGGACAGCAGTTCGAAACTACCAGCTGCTAGGAGAGAGAAAGATGAGGTGTTCTGCTCCCGTAAAGATTTACAGCCTCAGAAACCCTGTACAGTATCCCTATGAGTTGGAATCGACTCCATGACACATAACCACCACCAAAGCAAGCCATTCACTGGTGGGATTTCTGTTAAAGCAGCAGGAGATAACTAAGATAGGAATCAAGTTGGACAGAGACCTGGGGGGATAGAAATGAGGGCAACTGAGAGAGAGGAGGATCTGGGACCATCTGGGTCCCCAGAGCTAGACCTTGAGGGAGTCGTAGGGGCACTGGATTTCGGGGTGTGTCTCCACGTCGAAGGACTGCACAAAGTCCAGGATAATGCTGAATCCCTCCTCCAGGCGGATGCTGTAGGTGCAGCTGGAGAGTTTGGGGTATGGCTGTGGGTGTTCCGGGCTGCTGAGCTCCGCGGAGCGCTTGGTGAAGACCTGGTCTGAGCATCGAGCTGAGAGGGGAAGAGACAGCGGACAGTGTGAGCCTGCAGACTCACCTCCTGCCCCACTGGACTGCGCTGCCCGGGACAGCAGGGCACAAGGGCAGGGTGCACGGGGTCATCTGTGCCCACAAGGCTGGGCCAGGACCCTGCCTGGGACAAGTGCCAGAAAACAAAAACTCCCTACCCCAACGGGAAAAGTTTGGGGGGCGGTTCTCTTGTTTCAAGACTTGAGCTTCAAAGGCCACACTCAGGACGTTTGTCAGAGGTTCCCACTGTCACACCGCAAGAGTGTGGGGACCTCCACTGGCACCCCTCGACAGGGTGGGGACTTAAGTTGACACTGGGGCGTGGTGGTAAAGAAGGGGTGAGTCCTGGGTCAATCACATCCCAGAAATGAGGATGAGGGAGCCCAGGATTTGGTGGGGGATGGGGTGGTTCGAAGGCAGAAGGTCGGAGGATCTCCTTGTTACGCACAAATTCGTGGGAAACGGAGGAGGTCCTGAATACCCAGCTCACCCGGCCCCAACAATTCCCACGTTCATCCACTAGAGGGCGCACCAACCTTGCCCACGGGACAAGTCTGTCCACCCCAGCGCCGCTGCTCCTTGTCTGCCTGTGGCTCTGCCCTGGGTGCGGTTCAAGGTAGCTTAGTCCACACTGACCATAAACGTGTCTGATGCCCCCTTCTTCACTGAATCAGCTAATGGGTACTTGGAACTCCATCACTCAGGGGAGGAATCTGTCCTCTACGCACACGCCACCCACCCCAGGGCTGCATAGTGTGGCTGGGACAAAGGCGCTAGAGCCAGAATACTTCTAGGAAATGGGGGCTCTCACTATGGCTTCCTCCTTCTTCCTAGTGGCTGCTTCTATGAAGTGGAAGGAGCCACCTGCTGGATTTGGGAATACCTTCTTGAATGAATCACTCTAGTTCATCACCCTCAGCCTAGCACACATAGGCCCTGAGTTGCTCTCCGAATAAGAGGTGATTAGGCCCGGGCCCCTCAGCCCCAGGAGTCAGGCAGCCTCCACCTCTCTCTCCATCTCAGAACCCTCTGGTAAAAGAAGAGGGAGATCATGGAAAGGGCTCCCACCAGGCTGTGCCGAGGGTGCAGAGGGAGAAGAGGGGGCAGGTGTGAGAAGCCAACGAGTTGATACCCATCAACCCCAGAGACAGGCAGCAGTAGAGGTTGAGCCAGGTTTATTGTCATGTCCTGGGGGTGGGGGGAACTAAGAGTGGGTGCTGCAGGCAGTAGGTGTTCTTGGCTTCTGGCCCACTGGGCAGGCCGGAGGCCTAGAGACCTTGCTCTGGAAGAGATGAGACAGACACAGAGAGGCACAAAGGAATGACAGAAAGGCTGAGCATGTGGGGGTAGCACCCGCCCACTCCCCAAGGCACAAGTGGGTTTGAGGTCCAGAAGCCTGGTGGGAGAAGGGGAGGGGAGTCGAGGCAGTGAAGGACCAAACACACCCTGCCCCTCCCTCTGGTGAGCCCAAGCCGGCCAGAGGAGCTAGGCCTAGGCCCCCCCACCCCCCACCCCCCCAGGACACAGGGCGGAGAGCAGGAGGGATTTGGACTGGTGAACAGAGAACATGAGGGCACAGAGGAAAGAGGCCAGGCTTGGGGGGTCAAAGAAGGGACGGAAAGAGGAGCGCTATGAGATGTTCCTCAGTCCTTCCTTTGCTTCAGGAGCCTGGGCCCACCCTCCTCACCTGAGCAGGTGTGCTTGTTCTGATGCAGCACATAGCCAGGCCGGCAGGAGCAGTAGAAACCACCCAGATAGTTGTGGCAATAGTGGTCACAAGGGGGCACCTCTCCTGGGGCCACCTGGCACTCATCAACGTCTAGGGAAGAGGCAGGTCAGGTGTGCTGTCAGCAGGCAGGGATGGGTAGGATGGGCTCAGGTCTCCACACAACCTCGGAGGGATACGCTGATGCCACCGTTTTTAAACCAATGAGACATAAGTGTCCTGCCTAGTGAAGGGGG